CCAAATTACACCTTGCTTGGCTGCTACTTCGAAGCACATCTGTCCTGCGTGCTGCACAACAACATTGAATATTTAGTATTTACTGCTGTTTACACTTAGCTAGATTAATGTGATGGTGTTGTGTTTAGTATGTTGCTTTGTTTTTTGTTTTTTTTGTCTTTTTTGCTTGTTTTCTATTCTTCTCTCAACAGGTGATCCAGGAGATTTTTATTTTTTTTCTCCCCCCCTTTCTCACGGTCCCTCCCCCCTTCTGTTTTTCCTTTCCTTCCTCTTTCTTTCTCCCTTTCCTATCCCTCACTCATGTCTGTCCCGTCTGTAACATCTGAAAATAAAATATAATAAATAATAAAAACAAAGATCGACCAAATGGACCAATACGGCAATGCCACGATGATCCATTTGGCAAAGTAAATCCATTGGGTATCCTTGTTGGTCTTCAGACAACAATTCTGATGGCTAAAGAACCAAATGGGACAGGCATGTTGACATCCCAGCGGTGTTGGTGGATATTAGTGTGCTCAGTTCATTTGACAACTTTCAAAAGATCCCAAACTCCTCTACATGCCACATGGCATTCGGCTCTTGTTGAGTCCCCATGTTTAACAGCTCAGGATTTAAGATTTTTTTCTCTCATGTTAAGAAAGAAAAACAAAGAGACAAATAAATGCCACACTGACAGGATTGCATGGATGTAGATCTAAAGTCCCTAAACCATATATGTGTCCTGGGACGCTACCTAGCCAACCACTGGTCTTATAAAGCCCTGGTTTTTGATAAAACATTAGAAATTTTTTGTCCAAGAGATAATATGATAATATGATTACTGCACATTCTTCAGCCAAGCAGTTTGTCAACCACTCTACCACATTTCAAAAGTGTACACTGTGGTTGCACAGCTTGAACCTAAGACTTTCCATCCCTCATGGGAACACAGGTTGTAGACTTAGTTCACTCATCACTCTGATTTTTTTTTTCTGATTAGGTAATCCTCCCCCATCTGCATCCTCTTGATCACCTATAAGGACAAATTCTTCCCTGAAACACCTGAAACCATTTTGTAATGTGGCTGATTGTATATGTGACCATAATAGGAAGCAGATTGCTCATAGATTCAGATTAAAAATCTTATTCAGTGTGTTCTCTTTTGTAGAATATAACTTCACACACACAGTCTTCAATAGGAGGCGGGACAGGTGGAGTTCCTGGTTTGTGTCTCCAGTTAACTCACTGGTCTGTTTAGTTTTTATGTGTTTTTATGTTTGTTTTCACGTCACTATTTTTGGTTAGGGTGAAACTCCTTCCTTTAGAACAATAAAATCCAGCATGGATACCTATCTCGCCGATGACATAGCCCGTTTGGTTGCACAGCTCCACCCAAGGACACCTGGTACTTTAACTTTGTTTCACTCCCTGGGAATGAGAATAAGCCAGTTTTATCCTCTGTTCCTGCTTCCAAATTACCGGACCTGCTGCCTAAACACCTCAGATGTTTACAGTATGGTGCAAAAAAGCAGAACATGCTTTGAGCAATAAAACAAATGGAGTATGTGAGCATGACAAAAATAAAGATAACAAGAGACTGGCAGATGTTACAAACAGAATTCAGAAGTTACAAGGTTTGTCTGAGTAAACAGTGAGCAGCGTGTCAGTGCAGTCTTCCACCCCAAAGGTCAAGTTAGGCAACAGTGTGTTTACCTTTTTACAATCAGCAGAAAAACAGAGTTTCAAGAGGCCAAGCAAACATGCCAAGTTCTGATAACTTGTTCTGGGAGCATGAAGGGCTTACAGAAATTCAACCTCAACCTGCTTTCCTGCAACAAGCTGCAAAATAATGACAAGACAAGGAAATATTGCACAGTTGATGGCAGTAAGTATGACACAAGTCCTGGAAATGCATAACCCCTGCTGTCTGTAATTAATGCTTCCAGGTATGTGTGCATCTGCTGCAGCAGCACTCTAGGTCAGTTTAAGTCAGCCTCCTCAGAAGATGCCGAGCTCACAGAAACTGAGCTTACACCCTGAGTAAGACAATGACTATGACACTGCAGCTGGTTGCAGACACTGAGCCACGCATTAACACTACCCTAAACCCTGCTTGTGATCAAATCAAGGCAACCACAAAAACCACAACAGTGACGCAAATAATGGCCTGAGCACTAAACCTGGCCCTCCAACAGCAAGATGTTAAATGTAGCCCACTTGATGAACACACAGGAAACCAGCACTGTGGTGATATGATGTCATTCTCTAAAACCAATAACAAAACTTAGCAGATGCAACAAAAACTAAGTGTATCTGAGAAAGTGACTTTTGGTTGGTTCCACAAATGAGTTTTGAAATAGTAAAAAATCAAAGAATAGTGTGTCTGTGGCTTTTGAGAGTCAGAGGTGTGAAGTCATTGCTGATAGTTCTTAGATGAATTAAAGTTTTAATCCGTAGTTTTTCATTTTAGATATGAAGATAGATGTAGCCAATGTAATGCACCTGACATATTTCTGAATTTACCTCATGCCATGTTTTGATTTTGGCAACATAATTTTCATATCTAGACAAGAAAGTGCAGTGTTGTCTGTGAAGGTTCTCAGTCATCCAGATCATCGTAGTCTAAGAAGCTTGGAAAGAAAAGCGTCTGGACTTAATTAAGTTTCTTGAAGATGTTTCACCTCTAATCTGTGAAGCTTCTTCAGTTCTAAGTGCAATTGGTGGCAAGTCCCAAGCTTGGTATTCCAGGCACAAGCATAAAGTGTACGGACACAAATATGCGCTAAGATAGCTCGAAGAAACAGTCCTATAAATGCTAGAATTTTTATCACCAAACCTGAAACTATTGATGGGCAATATCATCCAGAAAGCCAATTATTTGTCAGATACATCAATTAAAAATAAACCAAAAATAAACCTACAGCACAAACACGGTGACAAGATCCAGTTCTGTGAGTCCAATTAGTGGATATAAGGCCTGACAGATGGCCAGCAGCCAGTATCCAAAACATTTTACACTATTTTTATGAAGGTGAAACTATCTATACAACTAGAGGCTATTTTTTTTTATTTTTATTTCAGGCTGTAAATGTGTTTTAAAGCATATTCTCTTGGGCTTTTAACTTGGAAGTTTATGAGGATGGAGTCACTTTTGAATGAAGGGGACATTGAGGCATGCAGGGCAGAGGAGACATGGAGACTTGGACGCTAACAGAAGAGCCAAGTAAAGGAATCGAGGACTGATAAAGGAAAGGAGAGGGGCGAGCTGCTCCCCTGCGAGGAATCAGTGGTTATTCGAAAAGTGCCCACTAGATGGCACCAGTGAATTTCGCTGGGAAGAAACTAATCTCGATCCTCTTCCATCTTCTTGTTGAGGGCAGCATGCATTTTTGGAGAAGCACGTGTGTAACCTAGAGGTTGCTGGCTGAAATCCCTGGATAGAATAACACTCTATAACTGAGCCACTGAATGCTCCTATCCAAAGTCAAAGGAGGCTTTCAGTTATGCACTCTTAGGGTTATTATTTTTCAAAAGTGATGAAGCTATACCGACCTAAAACAATCTTTAGACTCTTTTATTTTAAGTTATTAAAATAAGCTAAATATCTAAAAAGACAGAATATTAAAAGGAAAGAAGAGTGCACTCTGCATTTCTCTTCATTTTTCAGTCTGCTCTTATAGTGTTAATGTTATTAATATTCATTTTTCATGTGTCATGAAAGCCTCATTATGTCACAGCCTAACACTGCTGTTACACTTTGTAGGTATTCTTATAAGGTAAACATTTCAACGTGAGTCATTCATGCAGGAAACCGAAGCAGCCTGTCGTCAGTCCAAAAGGAAATCCTGGCTAATCTCATGTCTGTATCACATTTGAACAAGAAACAAAGTGCACGACAATGAAAGCAATGCCACACAGAAGACTATACACACGCAGGTAACACAAAAGAAAACAAATTTGAATAATTTACCCACCGCTTATAAACACATTGGTTAAGAAAACGGGTGGAGTGCTTAAGAGTATCCCAGCGGTCGTAAGGTGAGAGGTGGGGTCTGCTGCAGGGCAGTGACACATTTATCTTTTGAGTAAAGTCAACATTTTATATACGTTTTCTATAATTGGACTGCCTTCATTTGTGGTCAATCAATGAGCAGTCTACAAAATCACTTAAATAAAAATCAAAGCTCATAAAATAGAAAAAAATGTATTACTTTAATCTGTTTCTACTTATTTGGGCAATTTCATTTATCATTTATTCCGTTTTATTGGAAAAAGTATTAATTTTTAATAATATGAATAAATTAATTAGTATTAATTTCTACGTTTGCTTAAAGCTTTTACATTTTTCCATAATTTTTCATATGGAAAACAGCAGATGTTTGTTTGTTTTGCTGCTATTTGTCCCCTATTTACGAAAATTAACTCTCTGCATCACACTATGTTTGAAATTTTATGCAGTCTACTAACATTACTAACATTAGACACCAAGATCTGACAGTCACCACTGTTTGGCTCCCATGATAGATTACAGATGTTGATGCAAAAACTACACCTACTAAATGAACAAGTAAACAAAAACAGCATAGCCCTTATTTATAGCCGTAGGATGGATGGAGAGCACGGGACATATTTGTCATGCGTGTACATCAGCATTACACTCCACTGTGCTGCTGAAAGAAGTGAAAAGAACCACAAAACAGCAAGAAAAAAGTTAAGAAACTAAACTTTACAGACTTTTTAAAGGACACAGTGATCACGGTTAGTATCGTTTTAATTATCCATCTATAATTACAGTATAAAGCAATATTATATCATTACTTAATTAGAGTTGAGGATTTATATACACTGCTGATATTTGTATTGTGAAGTCGATCACGCGGTGGAATTATAAGGCATACTTTCTGTTTTATTGCGCTTTACAACGGGGTAGACGGGAGCCAATCGGGGACGAGTGCGGCGCTCTACGTCAGACGCAAGGGGCGTGTCAGAGGCGCGTCCGCTCCGGTGTAGTAGCGGAGTTGACTGTAGCGCTCGAGCTCCATTGAAAGTGGCTCCCTGGCTTAGACGCGGTGCGGGCAGACAAGGGGGCGGACCAGCCGGAGGAAAACTTGACAGAGAAAACAGCAGCCGCGCCGCTGACCTCCACAGCTGACACTTTTATCAGCGCGAGCTTCCACGGGACACACATTTACTGCGTGTCGCTGAGTGACGTGCCAGCGGACACAGCGGAGGCGCGCCCGGTAACGGAGTAACGTTTGCAGGAAAGCGAGAGGTGAGGCGGAGGCAGATATTTGTAGTTGAGAAGAAGAGCCTCGGTCACAGGTGGGGACTCAGCTACAGGTAGCCTCGCGGGAGCTGTCGTGGCACAAGATAGCTGTGAAAGCGCACGCGGGTCATGAGGATTTCTCCGGTCGCTGCTCGGAGCGCCGCGTCGCAGCTGTGAACGAAGAAGAAGAAGAAGAGGAGGAGGCAGAAACCAGAGGAAGAGCCTGACCACTTCTCTGCCGCTCAGCCCGAGAGCAGAGGCAGCATGTCCCGGAGGAAGCAGAGCAAACCCCGGCAGATAAAGCGTAAGCATGACACAAGTTTCCCCTCTTCTTCTTCTTCTTCTTCTTCTTCTTCTGAGTGTTCGTGTGTCGATGCGCCGCACGCGCGTCCCTGCCCGGACCCCCCTCATCGGTGCGTAAATTAGAAAGCACAGCTGACTCTGAAGACTTTAAGTTTCAGATGCAGCTCGTTGTCTCGGGATAACCGGAGGATGTCGCCTCCCCTCCAGCCCCTCCTGTCCTCCTCAGCCTTTATTAAAGGGGCTCCTCGGCAGCTGCCTCCGCGCTGTAAGGCTGTGCAGGAATATCAAAAAGTTTTTCTTTATTACCCTGTGCGGAATGTTTTTGTGCATTGGCAGCTGAAAGTGTGGCCGGGGCTTCCTGTTTAATTCTGTTGTGGAAACGTCAGTGTTCTCGGCAAAAAGCCGATGTGAGCTGAGATAAAGCAGCGATCCGATGTGAGCGCAGATAAAGATTAAAATTGGATCTTTTTTATTTGTTTTCTGTCTGAGGCAGCGCCAAGGCCGCCGCTGCATCCCCCCTCCTGGCTTTTCACTTCTCCTTCCTAGAGATGGGGCGTGAGATAGGCCGCATGGCCGATCTCTCCCGCTGATAGCTGCTTACAATTGGATCTGTTTTTTCATCTATCCTTTTAACTCAATAATGCATCTCGGGGCCGCTTGAAAGGCCCTTTTCTTGGTCTGGCGCTTGGCTGGTCTCCGTGCTTGACGAGCTCTTCCTGTTTATAAAACGTGTGAGGGTTTATCGCTGCTAACTGACGTTCAGAGTTGATATAAGAGCATATTAATGATGTTGTGATTAACCTCTGCTCCTGCCTGTTGCACACCGAGGGGATGGTGGGGACTCTCAGTGTTAATGTGGTTCTGCTGGAGAAGAACAAATATTTGGAAGCAGCAGCTGGAAACCGTGACATAAGTTTGTTTGGCAGCGTCGTCACTGATTGTGTCACGGTGTCCTATTTAACCTAAAACCTCCCCAAAACCTGTGGATCTTTTTAAATGAATCAAACAGTTGTTCTTGTGCAGAAACCAAACATAGCAACCACAGAGAGGCCGGTTATTAGAAAGTTCAAATGCTAACCAGCCATGCATGCAAGGACTTCTTTGCCAAACTACAACATCCTTGTAAACTGATTTTACTGTCTGCAGATAGTCATTAATAGACCTGGAGACGGTCTGACGTGTCTCTCCTTAAAATCCATGTGAACGAAGCCAAAGGAAATTATTAACATGGCAACTTCATCACACTTCTTCCTCTTGTGATGTATAATCGACACAGTAATGACACATATTGATATTTTATTCCAGCTTGCAGGTACATTGGACTTACCAGAGTCAGTGCTGTCATTACAGTTTGTCCATTTGTAAACATTAGTAACGCCACATGTCGGCTGTATTTTTATTGTTATTACTATTATCATGTGTAATATTATTAGTATTAGTTTTATTAGCAGACAGATTTGCTTTGTTCTGTCCAAAGTCCTGGAAGCAAGTCTTGACACCCCACGCACACACACACACACGAACACACACACACTCATTTTGAAGCTGCATCTACCTTAACTTCAGTCGTTGCGAGGACTTAAAAATAAATCTGATCTTTAATAAATGCTTAAAGTTTGCTGGCTTTTTGTGAAAATAAGGTTTCATTAAGTGTTTGCTCCTGTGGAATTCCTCCTCCGATTTCTACCTCTTTGAGTGCCATGTCTCTAATTTATCTTGGGTACATCAAGTTCCAGATTCAGATTTTGTTGCTGTGCTTAGACTCTGTTCAGTTGGATTCAAGCATCTAGTCCAAAATGGTGCGGCACACTTGGAGTAAAGTTTCTCTTTTTCATTTTGGATCCAGAAATGCTGTAAGTAGATATTTAAATCATCCCTTCAACAAACCGTTTGTTGATTAACCTGGACTAATGAAGGCAGATGATGATGATGATGTCTTCAGTACCTGGAGAATACAGTTGGTGGTAGCTGTTTGTGTTCTAATTCATCCACAGCATCCGTCTTGGTCATGGATTTCCATCAGGAATTTCTCTCGATGATGCCTAACCCTACCCCTCCTACATCGGTTCCCATAGAGAGGCAGTGAGCTCCCAGCAGGCACCTCCAGTAAGGCCAGCAGCGAGGCCTGGAGATGTATTCCAGACCCCAAGGCTGATAAACTCAGGCTAGACCCGGTGTGTATGAGACAGCGTGTATATGTGCGCGTCTCAGGGGTGTCATGGCCATCTTTATCAGTGCTTCTGGTCCACCGTGCTTCCCTGTGCACCAGGCCCCGGCTGTGGTCGAGGCCGGCCAGGCTCTCAGCCCCGTGACTCTCTTGTGATTTGGCAGACATTTTGATAGGAAAGAGTGAGGAGTGATAAGGACTTTGTTCAGCTGGGGTGTGTGTGTGTTTGGGGGGGGGGGGGGGTTCATGAGGTAGGAGCTGCTACCACTACTGTTACTGTTGAACCACCATGTTGTTTTGAGCATGCCGCTTGCTGATAGTGATATGACAAATTCCAGCCAGGTCACAGTGGTGTTGGGTGCCGTTTCATTGTTGAAACCGACTTTGTTTCCTAAATTGATTCACGCCTTCGATAAGTCATTTAGTTACTCATCCAGCTGAAGGTAAACCACTCGTTTTTTAACGTTGCATTTGGAGCTACAAATAAGCTTGTGACCTGCTCTCAATACAGCTCTTCCTGTTATTGTAAAAGTTATTTGGTGTCCAGTTAAAGCTTTCAACAGACGGAGATGTGAGAGCTTGACGTGTTTAAGATATTTAAAAGGAAATTGCTGATTTACAGTTGGTGTATTTCCAGTCATCTGAGTGCAGCTAATGGCCGAATTCTCCTGACGTCTCCTGAAGTTTGTGTGTTATAGTTTCTCACGTTGTGGATTTAGCCATTTGCATTTTGGAAGGCTTACATTTGTGTGATGGAAAGAGGAGCGCTCGTGTGTGATGTTAGTGTAACTGCATCAATTTGGCTAATGGCTAAATGTTTAAACGCAGTGTGATGAAGAGCTGAAAGACTTCACAAGCGGTAACTTTTTTATTTATTTTATTGGTTGAAGATGTCTGGAAAAAATGCAAGATATATAGATGTTCTTGGCCCTGGCCCTCAGTTTCATAGTATGATGAACTATTGTACTGATCATGAAAGAAATGTCGTCAGTACATCGACTCTTCAGTTAACGAACATTACAGGTGAGCTGGCAGGTGAAACCTGGTCCAGCTGAGTTGGATGTTTGAGTTCTTGCATAAACCTCCAATAGGTAATGCTTTAAAAGGTTCAGGGCTGCAGAGTGTGTGTGAAAAATGCACTAAATGAATCAGTGGGGATACTTTGAATGAGCGGGGTGGTTTCGTATGTGTGCAGATTATAATCCAACTCATTAGTGGTGCAGTTACAGTAAAGCAAACCTCAGGTGGTCTAGAATCATCCATGAAGCCAAGTGACTGAGTATTCCTGCCTTTCGTACCACACTGAAGATGTTTATGTTAAGACTACTTCACTTTTCCTGTAAATATCGGCATTAATGTGTCGTAATCGATGGAGATGACATCTTTTTGTTGTCCTTTTCTTTGTTTCTTTGTATCAACATCAACTTTTGTGTTTGAAACAAAGAAAAGTAGTGTTAAACCTACATGAACCACTGCAAACATAATTTATTACAGTTAATAAAACTGGAAACACTGTTATTAGCTGTATTACCTCATGGCTGAATCTTGTGTTTCAACTATTTATTTTAGTAATAAATTTTATTTGTAGCCCCCCCCCCCCCCCCCCCCCCCCGCCTCCCCGTTCATGTTTGGTTGCCTCTCCACCCACCCGTACCCGTTCCATTTAGGAAATCAAGAATCCTGGAAACGCCCCCATAGCTACAGTAGCTAATACTGTGCAGACTCAGGTGTGGTTTGAAAAGCAACAATTGAACACTGGCAGCACCCACCCACACACACACACGCACAAACACACACACTGGAGTGCTCCATTAGGACAGTGTAGCGTGGATGTCTCTTTTAGGTTTGGATTTTTATTTTTTTTTGCCAAACAGCAGTCCAAGTCCAGAGCTTTCTGGAGGCCCTTAGTAGAGGAGGAGAAGGGGGTGTTTGTGTAGCAGATAGATATTTGTCTGTGTCTCTTTGTGCGTCATCCTCCCCAACGGTTTGTGATCTTTCAGCCTGATATGGCTGCTCTTCTTGATGGGGCGATAGGAGGCAGGCAGGCAGCCCACTGAGGCTGGATCCCTGGGCTTATATTTTGGCGGTTGAGATGGGAGACGCGATAAAACTTGGCGGCGATCGCTGCTGCTGATATCGCAGAAAGCAAAAGAGAGGGGGGAGAGGAGGAAGGGGAGGTTGGGCAGATGGAAGGAGAGATGGAGGACGGAGGGCGCATTGTAATTACATGTGGACGTTGTGTGCCATTTTTACCAGCGCCGCCGTTGCTGTTGGTGGTTTTTTGTTTGCGATCGGCTAGGGCTGGATGTCTAGATAATTAAAAGAAGGAGAGAGAAAAGCGAAAAGGGAAGAGCGGTTGGGAAAAAAGTGCTGTGATAAGGGGAGGGGGTTTGGAGAGGGAGTGGAGGTAGATAGTGGGAAGAAAGAGATAGAAAAAGAGTGAAAAAGTGTGCTGCTAGATGAATGTGTTGTGGTGTGTTTTTTAATGGCAGCCCAGCCAGCCTGCTCTGCCGCTCCCCCACCCTCTACCGAGAAAGATGTTTGGGGCTGATAAGGAGGCCTGCAGATGGTAGATAGATAACAACCTGCAGATCCACTCTGCTGATTGCGTGTGTGTGTGTGTGTGTGTGTGTGTGTGTGTGTGTGTGTGTGTGAGAGTGAGAGAACGCCTGGTTCCTATGACATCAGCGCTAGAGCTCAGAGGTCAGCATGAATAATGTGCTGCCTCCCACAGCTGAAAGCAAACCAGGACGCCTGCAGAGGCCAGACAAGGAAATCACCGGGCTGACCTCCTCCTCCTCCTCTTAGTCTTCGTCTTCTTTCTCTCTTGTTCT